CGCTATGAGTTGCAAACGACTCGACAGCACATAACAACAACAACAACAAAGTTGACAAATTGAGATAATGCAATTGTTATAGCAGAGGTATTTCTAAAAGCCTACACTTTATCTAGAGAATAAAGGCCTACTATTTGCCATCAGCAGATAGTCTCTCTGCATCTTCATCTCATCCTCATCCCTTCTCTCGGCTGAACTGTACAATATAACAGGGGCTGGACCACACTAGGCCATCAGGCGAGGTCCATGTGTATATTCACCACCTGTGCTTTGTATAAAAGGTATTTGCAATCAATAAATCACTGATTACACAAAATTATATCATTCTATCTCCAACTTCATTTCCGTCATCAAGCACATAATCTTCCATTCACTGGTCCTTTCTTGTTACCAACTTTTGCACCCAGTCACCCATTATTATTAATGTATCTGGGATGCATGCTCAATTGATTTCAGACTCCAATAATTAGTAGAAATCGTCTATTCTGGGTGGCTTTAGTTATTGGTGCATATATTTGAATAATAGTGATATTTAACAAGTCTTGTATGTGTAAGGATCATATCCTGTCACAACACTGCACTTCAGGACGGATCTAGACTTGGTCTTTTTTTACTATGGACATAAATCCAGTTTTTTCTTCATTTTTTCATTCTTGGCATAGTAGAACATATGATTGTCTGATTCAAAGTAGCTCATGTCAATCCACCTAGGCTCACCAATGCCCATTTCATTTATAACACTGTCCAAGTTTTATACAGTCAAACTTCTTACATTCCATGTTCCAATTATCAATGGCTATTTGAAACTATTCCTTCTCATTTGTGTGTCTCCCAATATTAGGGCCTCCAGTGCTGTATCTAATAGTACTGTATCTAATAGCCTAAGTGTGCTCTATTGTTCAAAGAGTTTTCTAAGTCCTGTTATTTTAGAAAAGGATGACCAATCGTTTTTCCCAGTCTGTCTTAATCTGGGAGCTTCACTTTAGTACAGCACCTGACAGACAAGTACTATACTCATATGAGCACATGACAGAGAAGCAAACATACATGTATCTAAGCTATTAAGAGCAGCAACATACAAAGACACTTCCTTAATAAAAAAACTGACAGATAAATTATATTCTTATGAGAAAACCATCACAAAACCTGCTACACAGCAGTAGTAACCAAAATTGCACAGTACTGGTACAATGACAGGGACATGGACCAATGGAACAAAATTGAGAACCCAGAAAATAGACCCAGCTATCTACACTCAACTGATATAAGACAACAAAATAAAATCTATCAATGTGGCAATGACAACCTCTTCAACAAATGGTGCTGGCAATACTGGACTACTACCTGCAGAAAGCTGAAATAGGATCCACATCTCATACCATACACAAAATCAACTCAAGGTGGATCAGACACGTGGGAGTAAAGTCCCCAAACATAAAGCTCATCAGAGACAAACTGGGATCAAGTCTAGTCTATGATACAAAGAGACTGCCAAGTACAGCCAGAAATGCACAATCTAGAGAGGATAAAATTAATGAATGGGGCCTTCTAAAGATTAAATCCCTGTATGCACCAAAATTTTTTTCCAACAGAACGAAAAGAAAACGTACTGAATGGGAAGAAGACAACTAGCAATACCATCTTGGACAAAGGTATTCTCATATAAAAAGTTGATAGACTGCTACAGGGCCTTCACAAGAGAAAGACTGATAACATAATTACAAAATGGGCAAAAGACATGGAAAGAGTTTTCAGAGAAGATATCTGGATGGCAAACAGATACCTGAAGAAATGCTCAAAATCACTGGCAGTAAGAGAGATATAAATCAAAACCACAATGAGATGCCATCTCACTCCCATAGCAGTGGCAAATTTTAATGGGACAGCAATAAATGGTGGAGAAGATGTGGTGAGATAGGAACTTTTACACATTGTTGGTGGGATTGTATAATGATACAATCACTCTGAAAGGCAGTTTGGCGCTTCCTCAAAAAGCTGAACATATAAATTCATATGACCCCTCTATTCCACTGCTTGAAATATACCCAGAGAATAAGAACTGAGGCACAAACGGAGACTTGTACACCAGTGTTCACAGCAGCATTATTCACCATCACAAAAACATGGAAACA